ATAAGAACATCATTTTTTAATGATGTAAAGTAGGTTTTTGTTGGATAACTATTAATAAATATGATAGAAAAACCAGGTTGTGGACAGTTATGGAGAACCTTGAATGCTATCCTAATGCATTTACCCTGTAAAATATGAGAATATTCACTTTTTAAGTAAAAGCAAGTTTATTAAGAAAGTAAAGGAATAAAAGAATGTCTCCTTCATAGACAGAGCAGAAGGTTGGGATACTAGACTAAGAATATTTATAGTTATTTTTTGATTATTTGCTAAAAAAGGGGTGGGTTATTCATGAGTTTTCCAAGAAAGAGGTGGGCAATTCCCATAATTGAGGCTTCCTCCCCTTTTTTGGATCATTTAGGATAATTTCCTAATGTAGCCATAACATTTGGAAATTGTCACAGCACTGATGGAAGTGTCTTTTAGCATGTCAATGCATTATAATAAGTGTATAATGAGCAGTGAGGATGACCAGAGGTCACTCTCATTGCCATCTAGGTTTTGGCTGGCTTCTTTATTGCAACCTGCTTTATCAGCAAGGTCTTTATGACCTGTATTTGGGATGACCTCCTATCTCATTCTGTGACTTAGAATGTCTTAATATCCTGGGAATGCAGCCCAGTGGGTCTCTCAGCCTTATTTCATATGGCCCCTACTCAAGATGAAGTTGCTCTGGTTTAAATGTCTGACATATTTCTCCTTTCTCTTTTACAAGATAATCCTTAAAACTAAGAGTTGCAGAAGGATGAAGATCCATCTTTTGTAACTTCTTTATGGTGAACAGGGGCAATGACATTCCTACCTAACTATTATGGCCTCTTGTATTCAGGGTAGAGAGCAGTTCAGTTAGAAAACATCCCTAAGTTGGGCCTCTTAACTAATCCCATCCTTTACCCAGGTATATGCTCCCCACTTACCCAAAGTCAGCCAATTAGTGCTGCAATCTATTTCTTTTGGGTTGCGGGGGTCTCCTCAGTGTACTCTCTTCATAGTTCACCAGGAAGATGTTACCAGAAAGAGGTGCCAATCCAGATTCCAAGAGAGGATTCTTGGATCCCATGCAAGAAAGGATTCAGAGCAAATCCATTGACTAAAGGGAAAGCAAGTTTTTTATGAAAGTAAAAGAATAAAAGAATGCCTACTCCATAGGCATAGCAGCTGAGGAACCTTTGAGGAGAAGAATGATGATTCTACAAATAAAGGTTAATAATACTGAAGTCTAATGTAAACTCTTCCAGAAAGTAAGACAAAGATTTTATAAGGTGCTGCATGCCACAGTACTCTCTGTCTAAAGGAAAAAGCTGAGAGAAATTTAACATAAGTTGGGACTTTATTTGGACCACGTTTGGGGACTCCAACCTGGGAACATAGATTCAAGTTGCCCTGAATATACAATCTGATTTGCAGCAGTTACAAGTGCATTTTTAAAGAAAAGGAAGCTGTTCCTAAGTTGCTTATTAAGAACTTATATTAAAATAATATAAGATATGAAGTGGCTATATATTGTTCTTTGTGTCACAAATTCCAAGAACAAGAAGATAATGGGTGAGGCAGCTAGTCAGGAACAAAATGCCTTAAACAATTGCCATGCTTGTGTCTTTCTGATCCTGGTAATTATGCAGATCTCACATAGCCCAAAGTACTCTGAGCTATTTTTCTTTTCTCAGTAAAGACTAATTTGAATTAGTCATACAATTTTTTTTCTAAAAAAATTCTTTTTCTTATTGATGTGTTGGGTCTCTTTATATACTATGACTATTAATCCTCTTTTACATATTCAGTAAGTTTTTTCCCCTAATTAGTCACTTGCTTTTAACATTATATAAATGACATTTATCATATTGCAGTTTTACATTTCTTAAGGTGTCAAACTGCTAGGTTTTGTGTCATAATTTTTCCACACTCAATAATGTATACAAAACTTTCAAGATTCCTTTTTATTACTCTTTATATCATTTTATGTTTTTAATGATTAGCTTTTGGAAATTATTTGTGACATGAGTAGGGCTCACATTTAGCATTTAAGTGTTAAAAATATATAGTTTTAAAAAAATTAATGTACATTAGAAAAACTATACCTGAGACCAAAAAAATAAAGATTATTAAAAGGCACCAGAAAAACTTTTACCTTGCAGTTATATTCCTCATATAACATTAAAAAAAATCTACAATTAAAATGCCTGATTATTTTAATAGAAGAAGGGAATGGATGCTAACATTCTTTTCTTGTAGAAACTGTTAGCCCTAATGATAGACAAATATGTTTTAACTTTGCTAGAAACTGAATGAGATAATTACATTATTATCATTATATAATTTGAATATGGAATTTTCAACTTGCCAGAAATTACAAAAAATAAATATGCTTAATTGATTGCAAAGAAGAAAATAACAATAAAAATAAATCAATGTAAGTCATAAAATAAGATTATAGAAACAAGCCCAAATATGTACATAATCATAATAAACATAAATGAGTTAAATTCATTTAAAAGACAGAGATAATCTGCCATAAATTATCAGAAAATAGATTCTATGACAGACATTTGCATATAGGGGTTTATCAAACAATGCTCACAGAAGTAATACCTAGAAAACAGTGAGGAAGCAAGATTTAGAAGAGGAAGGAATTGCCACAAGGACCTCAATCAATACCACACAGATCTCTGAGGCTGAGATGGCCTCTCAGACATGTCTGGAATTGAATCAAAGACTGTAGCTTTTAAAAATTTTATTCTTAGTTTTTATTTTTATATATTCAGAGGATACAAGTGCAGATTTATTGCATGCATATATTGTATACTGGTGAAGCTTGGGCTTTTAGTATACCTATCACCTGAATAGTGAATGTTGTACCCAATAGGTAATTTTTCAACCCTCATGCCTCTCATATGCTCCCACCTTTTGTAGTTTCTAGTGTTTATTACTCCACTCTGTATTCCCTTTGTTTAGTTCCCATTTATAAGTGAGAACATGTGGTATTCAACTTTCTTTCTGAGTTATTTCACTTGACACAAGGGCTTTGAAACCATTTTCTTCCCTTCCCAGTAATTAGTCATTGGATGATGGCTGCTCTTTTGGTTGAGCACAATTTTCTGTGTAGGTACTGAGCTATAAACTACTACCTAGTACAACTCCTGGCAGCTAGAGGAATGACTGCTTTGATCTTGAAAGGAAATCTGGGAAGCACATCACAGTATCCAGTACACTCAGAGATTGTGATTTTTTTTTTAAACCAGCCAGATTTTGTTTATGAGAGCCACATTAAAACAAAAATTTGCCAGGTATAGGTCATTGAGAAAATTATAATTGAATCTTCAGAACAGAAATACTTCACACCACATTCTTTAACCACTGGAGAATTAGAAAGCTTTCTTTCTCAAGAAACTCTGGTATTCCAAACATTTCTGGACTGCTTAATAAATATTACATTATTGGTTTTGCTTATTTTAAAAGAGTAATTGGCAGAGAAATAAATCCTGACCTAAAGAGTCTTTTATAATTAATGCTATCTGTGGTCAATTTTTTTTCTCTCATAATGAAATAGAAGAGTGAGGAAGATATTTCCCATAGTAATTCTTGTATAATACTTTATTATCAATAAATACATAGCAAGTGGAAAAATGTGAGAAATACTTCAAATGCTTTAATATTTCACCTTCTATATTCAAAGATTCAATACACATACTTATTAAAATTGAACTTGGGAAGGTTTTGTCAAAAATTATTTTCTTGAAAGAGCCCCCCCCCCTCAATTCTTTGTACCACATCTTCTCCAATAACCAATCATCATATGAGCAGTGACCAAAGGTTGATGTTACATCATTTCTGTGGGCAGATGAGAAGGTTTGTACTTGAAAAGATGGTCCTAATCTGGTAGTTCAAATGTTTTATTAATATAGGTTAAAACATAGTATTATCTTCAAAATAAGATGTTGGCCTATGAATCTCTCAAGTTACATAGCTTAGAAAGTGTGACAGTGCAGAAAGTAGATGGGAAGTAGTCGTTGCCCATAATGGATGGTAGCCTTTCAAAAGTCAGAGAGAAGAAAAGAATATTGTAACTTACAGAGTAAATATAAATAAATATCAAAGAAAATTCAAATAAGTCAAAGAAAAAGTAAAATATCATAATGTATTCAATATATATTGATCAAACAGGTATTAAGGGCATGGCTCTAATCTAGCTGCTTTAAAGAAAATAGTGAATTAGACATCTGTCTGTTTCCCCTGACTACTATCTAGCAAGGAAGACAGACACTGAATTTTAAAAAAATGAATAAAATTACTGTTAAAGTCATAACTGAAGCAAAGAGCATCTCCAAGGGGGACTTAGCTTAGAATAAAGGGAAGCCTTCCCTGAAAAAAGTAGCCTTTAAGATGAGAAGTGAGGGGAAGAATGTTCTGGTCAAGAAATTAGCATATGAGAAAACCCAGAAGTGAATAAAAATTGTGAGGAAGGCCACAGTGGTTTTAGCTTAGAGAGTGAGAAACCATGGCCTGAGATAAGACTGAGAAGTTGTCAGGGACTAGATTGCATTAGGCCTGGTAGGCTGTGTTGAGGATTCTTTCATCCTAAACCTGATGGCCGCTGGAATTAAGGGAAGGACCCAGTCAGGGTTATGTTTCAGGGAGACCCCTCTGTCTAGAGAAGAGCTGTTATGTGCAAGGCAGCAAGTGTGATGTGGAGAGCTCAGGTACAAAACTTTTGCCGAAGTTCAGGTAGTAAATGATGGTGATATAAACAGGAGTAGTAGTGGAGGTAATAAAAGGAAACAGATAAATTTTTAAAATACTTACCAAGAAAATTTGGCCATATAGACAAATGGTGAAGCATGGGGATGGATGAGTGAGGAGTCTTGATAAATGGAACCCTTATTTCTGACATGCAAAATAAAACTACTAAGGAGCCATTTACTGAGATAAGAAAAGCTGAATAAAGAGAAAGAGCTTGTTTTGGGAGAAGAGATCATGAGCTTACTCTTAGATATATTCTTGAGATGTCTATGAAGAATGTGAAAGGTGCAGGTGAGTAGGGGGAGTTGAAGAAGTAAATTTGGTACCAAGAATTGCAATTTGATCTTAAGATACACATTTTTTATTGTCACCATATAGGTGGCATTTAAAGCCATGTGAGTGGATAAGCTCCAGCAGAGAGATATGGTAGAGTGAGAAGAGAGAAATATTTTGACTAAGACCTAATGCTAGGAACAGGCCCTAAGCCTGTCATAAACAGGCCTTAAAGAAACTGGCCATAAGTAAAATATCTATAGCACTGTATCATACTCGTGGCAGTGACGCTCATTGCTGGAGGTTGTTGCTTTTCTGGAGTGAGGGAAAGAAATACCTGACCCGTCCAGGTCAGAGGAACACTACTTAAAGGCCTTCTGGAAACACAAACAATAGCATGAGCGACGTGTTTCAGTTGCAGTAGATATAGGCGTCAGAGCCTGTTTCTTGCCACTAGTAAAGAATGCTTTGCTCCCTGTGAAGAATGCTTTTAGTTAATCTATAACCTGCAGTAATGATGATTATCACTTGCTTGCTGTCAATAAATATGTCAGTCAAACTCTGTTCGAGGTTCTCAGCTGGGAATGCTGAAGCCCCCTGATGTCTCACCTTTTGCACTGTATCTTTGTGTCTGTTTCTTAATTCCTTAAGTGCCACCTGGGTTGGGGTCTCTATGACTGAGCTGATCTTGGCAAGTGGTGTCCATACATGGAGCTCGAACCAAGGGTGAAGGGTCGCCAGAGAAATGATTTGAGAATGCGGAACTAAGCTGGAGGACACCCGAGTATTCTTAAACCAATCCCCATGGTGAGTAAGAAGGGAAACTTGGAAGCATCAGGGTAACAAATGGGACAAGGGTCAAGCAGTCATGAGGCTTATTTGAGTCTGCTTTAGCAACTCCTCAGAAAAGGGGGCGTTAAAGTTAGTACTAGCTCCTTGCTCTGTCAGTTGTTTTCAATGAATCTGTGCTTTCTTACTCTGTTCTTCTGCTGTTTTCTTTGTCTTTCATTGCTTTATAAAGAAGGAGCTGGGGATATTCCAATCTCAGTATGGTCAGTTTGGGCAATATTGTGTTCAGCATTAGAGCCATTTCAAACTAATAATGAGGAGGAGGAATCAGAGGAGGAAGGAGAGTATAACAAAGTAACAGAAGAGGTGACAGCGCAGGTTTGCTTGCCAGCTAAAACAGTAAAAGAAGGAAGGTATGTCCGTGCCTTTCTGCACCCCCTCACTCTTCTAAAGAAAAAGAGTGGCTTGGCCCTCTGGATCTTTCTTTTCCAAAGGACAATGGGCAAAAAGTAGTTGCCCCACTGACTATTCGACCAGCACCTCAAGCAACGGTTTTCGATTCTATTCAGGCAGGAATCCAGCAAACCAGACATGAGGGTGATAATGAATGCTTGTCAGCCATATTATGGCTACATTTGATCCTTTTCCTGTTAAATTACTTAAAAAATTTAAACAAGTTATCAATCAATATGAACCAGGTTCTCCTTTTGTAATGGCACTGTTAAAGAATGCTGCTGGCTCCAGTTGAATGATTCCTGCTAACTGGGATCCTCTTACTCTAGCTTGTCTGACTTCTGCTCATTTTTTTTAACCCAGGCTGGAGTGCAATGGTGCAATCTCGGCTCACTGCAACCTCCGCCTCCTGAGTTCAGGCAATTCTCCTGCCTCAGCCTCCTGAGTAGCTGGGATTACAGGCACATGCCACCATGCCCAGCTAATTTTTGTATTTTTAGTAGAGACAGGGTTTCACCAGGTTGACCAGGATGGTCTCAATCTCTTGACCTCATGATCCACCCGCCTCGGCCTCCCAAAGTTTTGGGATTACAGGCGTGAGCCACTGCGCCCGGCCCTCTGCTCAGTTCTTAGAATTTAAAACTTGGTGGGCAGATGAAGCTTCCATTCAGGCTCATCACAATGCCCAGGCCCAACCTCAAATTAATATAACTGCAGACCAACTTTGGGGTTTGGTGGCTGAGCTGGTTTAGGTGAACAAGCAGTCATGCAGGATGATGCCACAGAGCAGCTTAGAGGAGTGTGCATTAGAGCTTGGGAAAAAAAATCACTTCAGTAGGAGAACAATACCCCTCTTTCAGTGCAATCAAGAAGGGACCAAAAGAACCTTATGCAGATTTTATAATCAGATTACAAGAGTCTCTAAAAAAGGTGATGGCAAATTCAGCTGCTCAGGTATAGTGTTGTGGTTATTAGCTTTTAACAATGCCAGTCCTGAGTACCAAGCTGCTTTGTGACGCATTAGAGAAAAAGCACATTTGGTTAACTATATTAAAGCTTATGATAGTATCAGAGGTTATCTGCATAAGGCTACTTTGCTGACCCAAGCAATGGCAGAACTGAAGTGAGTAAAGGAAATATTCCATTTCCTGGAACTTGTTTTAACTGTGGAAAGCATGGTCATACTAAGAATACAGAAAAAATAAGCAAGTCAGTTCTCCAGTTAGAAAAAAAAAGAAAATTACTGAGCCTGAAATATGTCCAAAATGCGAAAAAGGAAAACATTGGGCTAGTCAGTGTCACTCTAAGTTTGATAAAGATTTTGGGACACAGCATGAGGGGCCCATCCTGTGCCCTGTTCCAAACCAGGGCATTTCTGACTCAGGCCACTCCCTCATCCCTGTACGGTATCTGTCCCCTGCCATAGCTGGTAGTGCCACAGATTTATTCTGCACAAAAGCTGTGAGCCTTCTGTCGGGGAACCCTCACAAAAAGTGCCAACAGAAGTCTGTGGACCCTTGCTAGCAGGGTTGGTAGAATTACTTCTAGGTAGGTCTAGTTTAAATTTAAAATGAGTGCGAGTACATACAGGAGTCATTAACTCAGATTACAATGGGGAAATTTAAATTGTTATATCTACTTCTGTCCTCTGGAAAGCAGAGCCATGAGAGCATATAGCACAGCTCCTGATTGTGTGGTATGTGGAAATGGGGAAAAGTGAAATTAAACAAATAGGAGGATTTGGAAGCACAAGTAAACAATGCAAAGCAGCTTACTGGGTAAATCAAATTACTGATAAATATCTTACTTGTGAAATAACTATTCAGGGAAAGAAATTTGAAGGATTAGTAAATACAGGAGCAGACATTTCAATCATTCTCTACAGCCTTGGCCATCTGCGTGGCCAATTCAACCCACTCAATTGAACATAGTTGGAGTTGGCAAAGCCCCTAAAGTATATCAAAGCAGTTATATTTTGCATTGTAAAAGACCCAATGAACAATCTGGGACTATTAAATCAATTGTAACTTCTGTACCTATAAATTTATGGGAAAGAGATTTATTACAGCAGTGGGGAGCACAAATGTTAATTCCAGAACAACTATATAGCCCTCAAAGTCAGCATATGATGCAAGAGATGAGGTGTGTGGCTGGCATGGGATTAGGAAAAAATTTGCAAGGGTTAAAGGAACCACTTAAAGTGGAAAAACAGAATTCTTGTCAGGGTCCAGGATATTATTTTTGATGGTGGCCATTGCTAAGCCTCCCAAACGAATACCTCTAAAATGGTTAACAAACAGGCCAATTTGGATAGAACAATGGCTGCTGAGTACAGAGAAACTGTAGGCTTTAGAGGACTTAGTTACTGAATAATTAGAAAAGGGACACACAGCTCCAGCAGTTTTCCTCTGGAATTCTCCAGTCTTTGTTATTAAGAAAAAATCAGGTAAATGGAGAATGTTGACAAGTCTTAGAGCCATTAATTCAGTTATACAACCTATGGGAGCATGACAGCCAGGATTGCCTTCTCCTGCTATGATTCCAAAAAATGGGCCACTAATTGTGATTTATTTGAAGGACTGTTTCTTTACAATTCTTTTGTCAGAAAAGGTGTTTGAGAGATTTGCACTCGCTATTCCTTCTATAAATAATAAAAAAACCTGCTAAAAGATATCACTGGAGAGTGTTGCCACAGGAATGTTAAACAGTCCCGCAATTTGTCAAACTTGCGTGGGCCAAGTTATTGAGCCTATCAAAAAGGAATTTTCACAGTGTTACATTATTCATTATATGGATGATATTCTTTGTGCTGCTCCCACTCAGGAAATATTACTTCAATGTTATGATCACTTGCAAAATTCAATGTGTCATGCTGGTTTAATATAGCTCCTGACAAAATTCAGACTACTACTCCTTACTTGTACTTGGGAACCTTAGTGATTGACACTACCATCGTGCCACAAAAAGTAACCATATACAGGGATTGATTAAAAACATTAAATGACTTTCAAAAATTACTAAGGGATATTAATTGGATATACGACCTGCTCTAGGCATTCCTACCTATGCCATGAGTAATCTATTTCCTATCCTTAGAGGCGATCCTAGTCTCTCTAGCCCTCGACAATTAACAAAGGAGGCTGAGGCAGAGTTACAGCTCATTGAGAAGTAAGTGCATAAGGCTCAAATAAATAGAATAGATCCAGAAAAAACTTCAGATTTATTAATTTTTCCAACTCAGCACGCACTCACTGGTATTATTGTTCAAGAGCAAGACTTGGTGCAATGGCTTTTTCTTTCTCTTACAAATTCACGGACTCTGACTCCTTATTTGGATCAAACTGCCACTCTGATAGGAAATGGGAGAACTCAAATTGTTAAATTACATGGATATGACCCTGGAAAAATTATTGTCCCTCTTACAAAGGCATAATATAACAGGCCTTTATGAATAGTCTTACTTGGCAAATCCATTTAGCTGATTTCATGGGTGTTCTTGATAATCATTTTCAAAAAACAAAATTATTTCAATTTTTAAAATTAACTAATTGGATTCTCCCTACAACAATTAAATCCAAACCAATTGAAGGGGCTGAAAATGTTTTCACAGACGGATCAAGCAATGGCAAAGCTTCTTATTCTTGGTCAAAAAGTAAAATTTTGCAGACACTGTATACTTCAGCCCAAAAAGCAGAGCTTGCAGCTGTAATTGAAGTCTTAACTGCTTTTGAGATGCCTGTGAATGTAGCTTCTGATTCTTCATATGTGGTTCATTCTACACAATCAATTGAAAATGCTCAGCTTCGATTTAATACAGATGAACAACTGATGAGTTTATTTATCCAGTTACAAATTGCAATTAGAAATAGAACGCACCCTTTTTACATCACTCATATTAGGCTTCACACACCTCTTCCAGGACCTTTAACTGCAGGGAATCAAACGGCTGATTGCTTAGTGGTGACAGCATTGTTAAATGCTGACATTTCACACTTTGACCCAAGTAAATGCCTCTGGTCTTTTTTTTTTTTTTTTTTTGAGACGGAGTTCCGCTCTTGTTACCCAGGCTGGAGTGCAATGGCGCGATCTCGGCTCACCGCAACCTCCGCCTCCTGGGTTCAGGCAATTCTCCTGCCTCAGCCTCCCGAGTAGCTGGGATTACAGGCACGCGCCACCGTGCCCAGCTAATTTTTTGTATTTTTAGTGGGGACGGGGTTTCACCATGTTGACCAGGATGGTCTCGATCTCTTGACCTCGTGATCCACCTGCCTCGGCCTCCCAAAGTGCTGGGATTACAGGCTAGAGCCACCGCGCCCGGCCATGCCTCTGGTCTTAAAGGATGTTATAATATTACTTGGAGAAAGGCTAAAGCCATTATTCAACAATGTCCAACCTGTCAAATAATTCATTCTCTGTCCTTTACAGGGAGTGTTAACCCTTGTGGATTAAAAGCAAACTGTCTTTGGCAAATGGATGTTACCCATGTTCCTTCTTTTAGAAAATTAGCATATGTCCACGTTTTTGTAGATACTTTTTCTCATTTTGTTTGGGCAACCTGTCAAACTGGTAAACCATCAGCCTGTGTCAAACAATATCTAATACAGTGTTTTGCTGTTTTGGAAATTCCCTCTTCCACAAAAACTGATAATGCCTTAAATATGTTAGTCATTCTTTAGCAGCATATTTTAAAGAATGAAACATTACTCATACTACAGGTATCCCATATAATTCTCAGGGACAGGCTATTGTAGAAAAAATAAATCTTTCCCTTAAACAGCATTTACAAAAATCAAATGGGGAACGGTGAATATAGAACCCCACAAATGCAACTTAACTTAGCATTACTAACTTTAAATTTTTTAAGTTTGCCAAGATGAGGACAAATAACAGCACTGAACAATACCTGAATAAACAATCCACAGAAGAGAACTTAGGTCAATTAATGTGGTGGTGAGACCCATTAACAAAAGGCTGAGAAAAAGACAATGTAATAACACGGGAGAGGATTTGCTGTGTTTCTCCGGGTCCAAATCAACAACTGGTGTGGGTACCATCCAGACATTTAAAGCCTTACGGTGAGCAGCGGTTATCACCATTACAGTGAGTACTCCTGAAGTTGGGGCAAAAGTAAAAGAAAATTTCACATCTGGGCATATATTTCTTTCCCTCCTTTATTTACATATGATTTCTGGCCTTAGTATTTTTTGTAATTATTCAGGAAATAAAACAATTATGTTTTGCTCCTCAAAACCTAAATGCAGACAAAATAAAGAGTGGTCCTCTAAGTTAAAAATATTAATTTGGGAAGACTGTGTTTTGGTAGAGGCTGAGGTGCTCCACAATGATTCCCATGAAATTGTAATTAATTGGTCCCCTAAGGGAATATTTAGCATTAATTGCACCAGTTAACCCTCTTGTTGTGACACAGAATTACTTAAATACAAAAACTAATAACAGTTTTGAGTCAATATGCACTGAAACAAATGTCATTATTATTTGGAGAAATACAGGCATGGTAGGATGACCACCAAAAATGATTTGGCCAAAATTGGAAACTGAACAAAAAGAACGTTGGAAATCATGTATGGCCCTGAAACCAATAAAGGTCTGGGAAGGAAATTATATAGGATCCTGCTACAATCATTAGTATTCATTAGAATTTGTAAAAGATAAAAACTCTTTGGATTCAGAGTTGTGTCAGCCCTCCTTATCTCTTAGTAATGGGAAGGTTACAGATCAATTTTCTTAACTCCCAGGTAACATGTCACAATTGTAAACTGTTTTCTTGAATTAATGCCTTATGTTTGACTCTTATAACTACAAATTACTAGTAAAGGCCCAAGAGGGAATATGGCTACCAGTAAATCTATCTTGTCCCTGGGAAACATCCCCATCAGTACATATTCTCACTGAAATTTTATAAAAGGTTTTAAAATGTATCAGAAAATTCATTGCAACTTTAATTTTAATCATTGTGGGTCTAATTACAGTTATGGCTACAGCCACTGCAGCAGGAGTGGTTCTGCATTTGTCAGTAAGTACAGCAAAGTTTGTTAATAATTGACAGAAAAACTATACCTTGATGTGGAATTCTCAAACTAAAATAGATCAGAACACAGCTAATCAGATTAATGATCTCTGACAAACTGTCGTATGGTTGGGAGATCGCATAACGAGTTTAGAATATAGAATGCAACCGAAATGTGATTGGAATACTTCTGGTATCTGTGTTGCTCCTCACCTTTATAATGAATCAGAGCATAAATGGAAAAAAGTTAAAAGATATTTAAAGGGTCATACTGGAAATTTATCTTTGAATATTGCAAAACTAAAAAAGCAGGTACTTCAAGCCTCTCAGGCACACTTGACATTAATGCCAGAAACTGAAGTACTTGAAGGAGCCAATAATGGATTAGCAGCCATAAATCCTCTCAAGTGGATAAAAACACTGGGAGGTTCTGTGATTTCAATGATGATTGTGCTTTTAATCTGTGTTGTTTGTCTTTGTATAGTCTGCAGATGTGGATCCCGAATCCTGCAAGAAGTAGCCCACTGTGACAAAGCTGCCCTTGCCTTTACTGCTTTGTAAAATCAAAAAGGAAAAGGCCCTAAGCCTGTCATAAACGGGCCTTAAAAAAACTGGCCATAGACAAAATATCTATAGCACTGTAACATACTGGTGATGGCAGTGACACACACTGCTGGAGGTTGTCAGTTTACTGGAGTGAGGGAAAGAAATACCTGACTCATCCACGGCAGAAGACCACTTAAAGGCATCCTGGACCACAAACAATAGCATTAACAACTGGTGCCCTAACCTGTTCCTGTTGTGGTAGATACACTTGTCAGAGCCTATTTACTAGTGTTTCTTGCCACTAGTAAAGAATGGTTTGTTCGCTGAGAAGAATGTTTTTAGTTAATCTATAAACTGGGGTAATGATGATTATTGCTTGTTTGCTGTCAATAAATATGTGGGTCAAACTCTGATCAAGGGTCTCAGCTGGGAATGCTGAAGCCCCCTGATATCCCACCTTTGCACTTTATCTTTATGTCTGTTTCTTAATTCCTTCAGTGCTGCCTGGGTTGGGGTCTCTATGACTGAGCTGGTCTCGGCAACCTAAAAACTACAAAATTTAAAGTTCTTTTAAAAAAGTAAAGGAGATTAAGAAGTGATTAGAGATATGTTCTTTTTTATTATTATTATTATTTTAAATTTTACTTTAAGTTCTGGGATACATGTACAAAATGTGCAGGTTTGTAACATAGGTATACATGAGCCATGGTGGTTTACTGCTCCTACCAACCCATCATCTAGATTTTAAGCCCTGCATGCATTAGGTATTTGTCTTAATGTTCTTCCTCCCTTTGCCCCACACCCCTCAACAGGCCCCAGTGTATGATGTTCCCCTCCCTGTGTCCATGTGTTTCATTGTTAAAGTCCCATTTATAAGTGAGACGATGTGGTGTTTGGTTTTCTGTGCCTGTGTTAGTTTGCTGAGAATGACAGCTTCCAGCTTCATCTATGTCCCTGCAATTTTTTTTTATGGCTTCCAGATATGTGTTCTTAAGAAAACTGAGGAAGAAAGTATCTGGACAAAGAGAAAGTGGCCAACTGCATTATAATTAATAAATTAATAAAATAATTGAAAGCGTGAAACGGCAGTTAAGACATTAAAAAGACTAAAAAAGAAAATGATGCATAAACTAACCTAAAGTAGAAGAAAGTTATTAAATTTTACACTTTTAAAACTTCACTTATTTAGATAAAAGTCTTTTTTTCCTGACTTGATTTTGGCTCTATTGCCCACTACCTTTTGTCTGGATGTCCTTAGACTGGTAACATTTAGACTATTGATGACATGTACCACACTCTATTGTTAACCTTATTTTTTTTTTATTTTTTTGAGACAGAGTCTCACCCAGGCTGGAGTGCAGGGGCATGATCATGGCTTACTGCAGTCTTGACCACCTGGGCTCAAGCCAACCTCCTACCTCAGCCCCCTGAGTAGGTGAGACTACAGGTACATGCCACCACACCCAGCTAATTCTTGTATTTTTTTGTAGACACAGGGTTTTGTCATATTGCCAGGCTGGCCTCAAACTCCTGGGTCCAAGTGATCCACCTGTATTGGCCTTCTACCATGTTCCACCTAGAGTTGATCTTTCAGCTTTAACATTTAAATCTGAAATCATGTCATAAATTGCTGATCTCATACTGAATATATTTTTTACTTATATGTTAGAGAAATAATATATATAATTATCCCCTATGGGGAAAAACAAAAGTCTTGCTCACTGAAGAAAGAATCAGATGATGATGATAATGATGATGATGATGATGATTATTTGAGACAGAGTCTTGCTCTGTCACCAGGCTGGAGTGCAGTGGCACCATCTTGGCTCACTGCAACCTCTGCCTCCTGGGTTCAAGCAATTCTGCCTCAGGCTCCCAAGTAGCAGGGACTACAGGTGCATGCCACCATGCCCAGCTAATTTTTGTATTTTTTCAGTAGAGACAGGGTTTCACCATGCTGGCCAGGATGGTCTTGATCTTCTGACCTCATGATTCACCCACCTCAGCCTCCCAAAGTGCTGGGAACACAGGCGTGAGCCACCACACCTGGGAAAATCAGATTATTTTCTAGTGGTAAATATCTTCTTGTGATAAATAATATACCCCCAGCCAATAGACAAAGTATTTGAGAACTATCTGTTAGCTACTAAAAGGTCCAGATAAAAGTAAATCTAGAAAATGATGGTTCACAATCATATTGTGTGAAGTAAGAGTACATGGTTTTCCCTTAGGCCTGCAACACCTTATTCACAGTGAATTTTTTGGGTTATTTCAATTCTAAATTAACATATCATTCTGAGTAGGGCTTTCTACAAAGACATTTTCTTTTTTTTCTTTTTTTTTTTTTTTTTGAGACAGTTTCACTCTTTTTACCCAGGGTGGAGTGCAATGGTGCGATCTCGGCTCACTGCAACCTCCGCCTCCTGAGTTCAGGCAATTCTCCTGCCTCAGCCTCCCGAGTAGCTGGGATTACAGGCGTGCGCCACCATGCCCAGCTAATTTTTAAAAATATTTTTAGTAGAGACGGGTTTCACCATGTTGACCAGGATGGTCTCGATCTCTTGACCTCATGACCCACCCACCTCTGCCTCCCAAAGGCATGAGGCCACTGCTCCTGGCCCAAAGACATTTTCAAACAGAACTTCAAAAGTGTGGGAATTATTTGGACATGGTAACTCATGCTTGAATCTCAGCAATCTGGGAGGCTAAGGCAGGAGAATCACTTGAGCTCAGGAGTTCAAGACCAGCCTGGGCAAAATAGCAAAAACCCATCTCTACAAAAAAACACAAAAATTAGCTGGGTGTGGAGGTGTACTCCTGTAGTCCAAGCTACTCAAGAGGCTGAGGCAGGAAGATCTCTTGAACCTGAGAAATTGAGGTTGCTGTAAGCCATGATTGTGCCACTGCATGCCAGCCTGGGCAAGAGGTGTGAGAACCTGTCTCAAAAAAAAAAAACAGGTGGGAATTATTTATTGTGCATTTTCAAGTAACTAAAAGATTATAATTGGATTGTTTGTAACATAAAGAAAGGATAAATGCTTGCTGTGATGGACATCCCCTTTACCCTGTGGTGATTATTATGCATTATATGCTTGTATTTAACTATCACTTATACCCCATAAATATATACTCCTATTATGTACACACAAAATTTAAAAATTAAACAAAAGTAAAGTGACTGTGGTCACATCATTCCAAATTCTGTCTTCACACTTCCTGTTCTTCTTTTGAATATCTATTTATTGTCTCTTTACCTCTCCTTTGTAAAGACACTTGTGATTTGATTTAGAGCCCACCAGAGCAATCAATAATAATCCCTTTGAGTTAATGTTTGTATACAGACAAAAGGTAAGGATCCAGCTTGAATCTTTTGCATATGGCTAGCCAGCTATCCCAGGACCATTAATTGAATGGGAAGTCCTTTCTCCCTTGCTTGTTTTTGTCAAAAGTATAATGAGATACCATTTCACACCAGTCAGAATGGCCATTTTTAAAAAGTCTAAAGACAACAGATGCTGGTATAAATGTGGAGAAAAAGGATATCTAATACACTGCTGGTGGGAATATAAATTAGTTCTGCCACTGTGGAAAACAGTGTGGAGATTTCACAAAGAACTTAAACAGAGCTGCCATTCAACCCAGCAATCTCACTACTGGTTATATACTCAAAGGAAAATAGATAATTATGCCAAAAAAGACACACAAAAACTATTCACAATAACAAGGACATGGAATCAACCTAGGTGCCCATCTATGGTGGCTTGGATAAAGAAAATGTGATACATATATAGCATGGAATATTATGCAGTCATAAAAAAGAATGAAATCATGTCATTTGAAGCAATATTGATGGAGCTGGAGGCTATAATCCTGAGGGAATTAACATGAAAACAGAAAACCAAATAACTCATATTTTCACTTACAAGTAGAAGCTAAACATTGAGCACACCCAGGCACAAATGTGGGAAAAGACACTGAGGACTACTCGAGGGGGCAGGATGGAGGTGGGTTGAAAAACTACCTATTGGGTAACATAATCACTACCTGGGTTCAATATACTCATGTAACAAGTCTGCACATGTACTTTTGTATCTATAGTTTAAAAAATTATCCTTATGTTAAAATTCTTAATCAGATTTTCAAAGACCAGCCTTTTTATATTTCTTATAACACAGGTTCTAGGGATTAAGACCTGGTGTATATAGGTGGCCATTTTATTTTTAGCATATGACACCTTCCATATGAATCCATAATATACCCCATGAGACAGAGGCATATTAGCATACAATCTGATTTTAGAGAGCAGAGGGACAGTGATCTGGAAGTGGCACTGAGTAGTGAGTAGTACACGAACTCCACCTACAGGGACAGCAGTAAAAGGAGTGGTAGGTAAACAACAGGCACCATATAAGAGGATGGCAATGAAGTCTGCATACTAGAGGAAAGCCAGGTTCCAGTTTAAGCAAGAATATGAAGAGGAGGTTTGGAGACAAGATTGAAGTCATAAAGAAGTTACAGAAAGCATACTGTGACTTCCAGAGATTGCCATATAGTAGGGTTTAGAGAGCCAGTGAAAGGAGTGAGAAGGACCTATATTAAAGAATGGGACTACCATGAATTGGGAGTTTAGAGGTTCCTAAGGTGAATGATATGAACAGAGAAAAAGGGCAAAATGGGATTCATCCTGAAGGGCTCCAAGGCAAGTCATGGTGAGGGATCTGTGAAGTAGAATGTCAGGGAGAAGGGTGGGAGGCTTCGCAGGCATATAGGCATATAGGAACCAAAGGAGGAAAATATCCAAATAAACTCAGTCAAATCCTTACTAATACTATATGGAAAAGAATAAGGTTTCTTTTGCAATTTTAATTACTTATATATACCCTATGAATTTAGTAGTTTTGTTTTATGTTAATTTTTAATATTAATGATACTCTCTAAAATGTAGTTCTATATTTAAAAATAAATATGAAGGCAGTACTATATAAATTCCATTGTGTGCCATGAAAAATTG